CTTGAGGACGCCCAGGAGCGGGTTAAGTCCGCCCAGCAGTTAGTCCAGGTCGACCTACAGCTTGACGCGGAGGTGAGTTTCCCGTATTTGCTCTTGACCTCTGAATCTCTTGTTGGTTGCCTCAGCAAACTTGCTTTTCATAGGGTCCGAAGGAGATGTCATCCCGCAAGTCCCGCTTCCTCCGGATGGAGCATGCCTGGGTGGCTGAGCTTGAGCGTCAGCTAGAGTCCGCCCGCCATGAGTCCCGGCCGTCAGCGAGTCCGGAGGAGCAGGCGTCTGTGGCCAGGTGGGCCGCCGTGGTCTTGAGGCGGCGAAGGCCGCTTGGAGGAGGCGACGCCCAAGAATCCTTGGAGGCCCTTGAGTCGAGCGGGCGCATTGGTGTCGGGCCGAACGCCAGAGTTAGCGCGAAAGGCCTAGAGTCGAGCGAAGGCCGGTCGAGGAGCCGACTGGAAGTGCTCGCCGGGGCCGAGTGATGGGGACGGAGGAGGCGGCGCCCGGGTGTGGTGGTGGCTCGGCTGGAGAGGAATTCTCCACCCTTGAGAACTCCAGCGTCAGTGCCTTACCTTTCTTTTTTTGTCGTGTTGGTTTCTTCCTTGACTGTTTTAAGCTTGTCGCCTTCTTTTCAGAGAAGTGGGCGAAATGTGAAGTCATTGGAGCGGGACCTGAAGACGGTCAAGGTGACTTTTGGCCGGAATGCAGAGGAGCTAGCCAAGTCGCGTGAAGAGCGACGTGCTCTCGAGGGGGAACTTGACCAGATCCGCAATGTCGCCCAACTTGTCGTCTCGGAGGTCTTCGGGTCGGAGCCAAGTACCAGCGCGCCTGCTGTCCAGCTGGCGGAGGTCCCGGATGCGGTCCGGGACCTTATCACAAGTGGGCTGTTCTACGGAGCGTCGGGGGTGTTGACCTCGGTGGCGACGTACCACCCGAACCTGGACTTCGCCGCTATCTGCAGCGGGTATGTTGACGACTTGAGCACGGAGGACATCCAATCGCTCGGGGAGAGCTTGCTACCGCATGCGAGGTTGGTGGCAGAGCATGTCTCTGCGCAGTGGGTGATGGACGTCCGCCGTGAAGACAATGGCTAGAAGCGTGTGCGTCGGGGTACGTTGCCCAGCCTGCGGATGACACGGAGCCTAGGTCGGAGGTGGACATTGCCCCGGCGTCGACCGAGCTGAATGTCGTCCCGCCGGGGAGTGAGCAGCCGGCGCCTTCGCCGGTCGTACCGACAGCAGATGCCGCCGAGCCGCCCCAATAGCTTGTAAAGTATAAGTAGTATAGTAGATGAAAAAAATTTAAGTTCGTGGGGGAGCCCCCATGTAAACGTTCTTATGTATTTAATGACTACAGTCGGTTCCATTTTTTGTGATGGAGTCACTCCGTTCGGGGAAGCTTGTCCCTCTCGTTCCTTAGTTTTTCCTTAGCATAATTTTGTTTTTTATTCTTTCCTTTTTCGTACTTGCCCATTCGTCCCGTAGGCTGCAACCTTGGGAGCCCGGGGCGTGGCCCGCGAGGCTCAGCTGCTCGTAACCGTACGAAAAGGCGGAGTGCGATCGGTCGGAATGTTTTAAAGCAAAACCACGTAAGGCAAATTAAGGGGACGAACTACACTTTTGCTTGGGTAGGAAGGAGTTTCACCATATAAACGAAAAAGAGAGGTAGTAGTGTACCCTTGTGGAGCCCCCAAGCGACCCGGGCCAAAAAGTGTTCGGGTCGGGGTGCTCTTATAGGAGCAAACGCTAAGTAAACAATGGTAAGACTAAAATTTAGGGGAAGAAAAACGACATAGCTGTTCCAAGCATTCGGTGAGAATGTCGTCGTTGTCGTCCTTCAGTCAGTAGGCGTCCGGTCGGATCACTTCAACCTTCAGTCGCCCGGATGCTTGCCCGCTACGCCCCCTTTCTCGGTCGCTGCATCTTCGCCTTTTTCTTCCTTTGGCCCGCCGACCTACCACAGAAAGCGCTTGAGAAGCTCGCAGTCCTTGTATAGGTGTTTGACGGAGTAGTCGTGGTTGGTGCACGGGCTCTCCATGAGCTCGTGGAAGTGGCCCGGAGGGTCCTGCTGGGGCTGCTTGCCCGTGTGATCAGCCGTGGCGACCAACACGGAGTTGGCCGGTCGGCAGCGATCTTTTCTGTTCTTTTTCCCCCTCTGCGTGGAGGGGCCCTCGTCCTGATCCTGGCGCTTGGCCTTGCCTTTGCCCCGGCCTCCGTTGGAGCGCAGCGGGAGCGCGCTTGCTGGAGGTGTTGGACAAAGGTCCGTGGTCCCGGGCCATCAGGGCTGGGATTTCGGTCGCTGCTGCATGTCTCGGTTCGGCCCGAGCCGCGCGTATATAGGCGGTCGGTGCGGAGCAGTCGTCAAGTCAAGACGGGGTGCCGATGTGGCTTCTTGTGCCGCGCTCGGCGGTTGTAGCGGTGATCGGGTGGAGCGACCCGTCTGCTGCGTCCCCATTCCCCTGGTGGGGAGTGAGGCCGCGAGTCGGTGTTGCGATACGGAGCTCTCCGCTTATTGAACGGCGGCGGTCTCCACTAGTGCCCGGAGGTTCCGGTGGATCGCCTGTTCGTGAGGGTCGTTCGGCTCGGGAAGGCCGCGCAGAAGCATTACCAGCGGCGATGTTCTGATTGGCCCGAGCGAACTGTGGGGGATCGTTCCCCTGTCCATGGTGTTGCGCTGGACCCGACGGGCGCCGCTCGCCGGTCTATGCGCACGGGGCGCAGTGTGGTGCGCCGAGCGCGCTGGCGCAGTCGATGGTTGGTGCAGCCACTGTTGTCGTGGTTCCTCGCCGTGCTCCCGTGTGAGCTCGGGGTCTTCGCACGACGGTCCGGAGGGGCGTGAGTCTGCAAGGACTCCGTTACCACTAGTGGCTGTCCCGGAGCGTCCGCCATAGTGCACTCCCGGGACGAGACGGTGGCTAGGCGCCACATCGCCGATGTTGGAGCCGTCACTCTCAACGTCGTCATCCATGAGGTCGAGGAAACAAGTGGGAGCATAGATTCGCCATCCCCACAACGGCGCCGGCATCCTTCGGAGCCCTCGGGCGTACACGTCCGCGGGAGACATGAGGCCGTAGGGGAACCGGTCGTATGGCGGTCGCGACGGGGACAACGGGGCCCCTCCGGGTAATTGGTGGAAGATAGAAAATAGCAAATAAATAACAGCATGTTCATTACTCACAGCGGGGTTTAAGCAGAGAGTTTACTCGAAATGAAGCGCAGATGCCTCGTTGAAATCGTCGCCGGAACAAGTGCCTCCTCGCGGAGGTGTAGTACGCCGAGCCGGTCGACGACAAAGTCCAGGCTTCCAAAGAGGAAGGTCTGGGACGGCTCGGAGACGGGTGTAACCCACGTCCCAACCGGTGGGAGTGCGGGAAACTCCCGTGAGCCGATGCGAGTCGTATCACCCGAGTCCGCCATGGCGAAGGTGGCGGAAAAGTGGGCCATCCGATGATCAAAAAGTGTTGAACGTACAGCGTCTTCCCCACGGACGGCGCTAACTGTCGGTGCAGAAAGTGACCAACAAGTAAATATTTATAGTTTTACCGTACGTTGTGATCAAAGGTGGCATAGCACTCAATGACACAAGGTTTATACTGGTTCAGGCAACGTGCCCTACGTCCAGTTTGAGTTGGTCGGTGACTTTATTCCTGAACCCAGGTGTTTGAAGTTTGCAGTGGGGTTACAAAGCGAGAAGGAGAAAGATGGGGTGTACGAGAGGTCCGGTCGAACTCCGATCGGAAGGGCCAAGAGCGACAGGAGCCCCGCTATGAGCTAAGTGTTCAAGCATGTACTTGAGGTTCGAACCTGACGGTTCTGTAGCTATGAACTAGTGAACTTGGTCGATCTAATGAATCTGTATTAACTGAGTCTCTTGGGAGAGAGCGCATCCCCTTTTATAGATGAAGGGGATGGCCTTACAAGTGAGAGGGAGAGAGTATGTATGCTTCTAAACCTTGTTGCTCACGCCGGTAGGTACAGGATGATGGTAAGCGCCCACAACACTGTTGGATGTCAAAAACACGTGAGAGGTTGCATCGTTTTGTTCGGGTATGGCAGATGTCGGTACCTGCTATACTGTTGATGCCCAGAGGCATGTGAGAGGTTTTACCATGTTCACTCGGTATGGTAAATGCCGGCGCCCACAACACTGTCGATGCCCAGAGACATGTGGGGGAGCCTTACCGTATGGGAGTTAATGGCGCCCATAATACTATAGGGAAAATGTCGGCGCCTACAACACTGTTTGTGTCAGAGGCGGTTGCAGAGTACTGTTTCTGCAGGTGTACAGGGTACGGTCCCTGGTATCGTGGTTTGACTTGTGCGCCTTGCCTTGCTTTCTCTGTTCGTTCCCTGGTCCTTTCCGGGCGGGCGTCCCTAATCGGTCGGTCCCAGTCGGCTCTGTTGCGCCAATCGGAGAAGAGCGGTGAGCAGGGCTTTTGCGTACCCCGGTCGGAGACGTGGGGTCGGAGTCAGAAGTAGTGTTTCGGCCAGGTCTTCCGGTCGGAGAGGCCGTCCGGAGGCGGATTGGAGATCGAAGTGAGCGCTCCGGTCGGAGAGGAGGGCCGGAGTTGGAAAACGGGCGCCATTCCTCCTCGGTCAGGCCTTCTGGTCGGTGATTGGATCGCCTTCCTGGCCTCTCGTTCCGATACTTGGGCCGGCCCATGAGTTGCGCGTTGTCTGCTTGGGCCGAGCCTTTGTTGGGAAGCCGGTCCGCGAGGGACCCCAGGTTTATAGGTTGTGTTGAAAGAAGATAATGTTAGAGCATTGTGAATACAGTTGAAGTTAGGTTGTAAAAAAAATGAGAATGGGGTATTGCAATACATATACAACAACAATAAAATTGATATTAGTTTGACGCAATTATCAGGAATAGATGTGTGCAGACTCAAGATATAATCACAGCACATCTATTGAAATCAATGATGATGCACACATATCTGACTTCCGAGACATTGCAAACATCATGGCAAACAGGTTGGTCGGTCTCTTCAAATAACTGCAAAAAGTGAATCAGAAGAGGGAAAACTCACCAATACCAAGACCGCGATACGGTGCCAGTACACCCAAGGTCATGATGTAAACTCGGACTGCCCCTCCTTCCTTCTTCTCCAAGCGACAAGCTATCGCGCCAACACAAATATCGCTGTAGTAAGCTGCAGACAAATGCAGGAAAACAACAGTTCAGCTGTCTGGCATCACTCATCAAGTGGGGCAGCAACCAATTTCACACATAATCAGCTGACCCAATAGATGAATCAATATAATCACATCTGCCCCCAAATGCATCCGTGCAGGGCAATCACACTTCATTACCCAGCGTAAACAACACAGCTACCATGACCGTCCAAGATCGGGCCTAACCAAACAAATCATCCCTTTTTACACATCACATTCGTCTGAATCCTAACGGCGTCTTCTCAATCTCGCCGCAACAGCTCGTCCTTTTGGACGCCAATCATAGATCCAATGACTCAAGGGGTGCAATCGTGGCATAGAGCAGAGAACAGAGGGAGACGGAGGTCGGATAGTGGAGTGGATGGCGCACCTAGTTTGGAGAAATCCTTGGAGGCGATGGCATCCTGGTAGTATTTTTCGTTGTAGCGGACAGGGAAGAGCGCCGTATTAAGCTTCTTGAGCTGCATCACGTTCTTATCCCGCACGCCGTCCAGCGACGTCCGCTCGACGCCGCCGCTGCCCTTCTCTTTGCTCGCAGCGACTTCGCCGTCCCCCGCGCCCATCTTCGCGCTCCCGCCTCACTCCTTGGTTTGCGTCTCTCTCGCCGGAGTCGACGGAGGAGGAGGCGTTAGAGAGTTGAGAGCTGCGTGCGGCACGAGCCCGGCGGCGGTGGCGTTTGGCTGACCTTCCTCTCTGGTCCTGGTGCGGTTGCCGGTTGGGGACTTCTTGGGTCCGTCCGTCCGGGTCTCCCAGCCAAAAACCCTGCTCCCGGCTCTTGTGCCGTTTGGCTGTTCCCGGTTCCTCTCGCTGTCGTGTGAGGCCCATTCTCCAGCCACGGTGGAGCAGCAGACCGCAAAGAGACAACGATGTACTAGTTGTGTTGCGTGCACTTGCAACCAGATCGTGTCTGTTCTTTATTCTCCTTTTTCTTATAGGCTTTTAGGTAGAAAATGATACTGATACTTTCTGAGTGGGAGTTACTGGGCCCGGACGTCCACACGCTCCTCCAGATATCAAATGACTCATGTCCGACTGAAGCTATTTTATACTATAGATTTTTGTCGATAAATCGGCTGATAAGTTCAAGCGAGCATACCTTCCGTCACCTGATAGTGCGCACGACTCGCATGACCTTTCATGTCCACACGATATCTTCCGATAAATTATTATTATAGGCCAGTACACATTCGGCATGTTCAGCTGGTTGGTTTCTAAACTGATAAATCCAGCTGGTGCTGGTTTGTTGTGAGAGAAAAATCACTGTTGATTGACTAATAAGCCTCTGGCTGAAACCAACAAGCGAACAGATTGATTGTCCTATGTCACCTCTATGCATCAGCCTCATAGGCCCATGGTTGTTCTCGCGCCGTTTCGTACGCCACGCAGGCCCGAACATCACCAGCATCAAGAAGAAGGGGAGGGGCGTGGCGGATGCCTAGCCAGCGTCGGGTGGAGGCACCGAGGCGAGGCAGCAGAAAACGAGGAGGAAGATGTAACACCCGATCTACTTTTAAAACATCCAGATGCAACACATACAACATATGTACAGATAAAGCACTTGAAATATATATATGAAACACTCGCAAAAACACGAAAAACACTTAAAAACCATTGTAAAACATACACAACATTCAGATAAAATACTTGCAACATATGTGTGAACATATGCAACATCCAAACAAACATACTTGCAACATGTCTGAAAAAACGGATGAAACATTTGGAACAAACACTTACAACATAAGTGCACAATCATTGCAATATATGCAATATCCCAGTCTACTTTTGCAACATCCGCGTGAAACAATTACAGCATACCTCTGAAATATTTAAAACATAAGCTTACAACATGCGTTTCAAGTGCAACATATACTTGCTGCTCGGACAAATGAAGACTCGTCGACAAGGAGCTCGACGCTACGGAGTGGCGCGGTGAGGGGATACTAGCGGGTGGGCAGCGACGGCCCCGCGAGCGGCTGCGCGACCCGGTGACAGGGCGGGCGGGTATGGTCCCCCACAGTGACGCACCCCTACGGTGGAGGTGGCTCCTCGGCGCGGTCCGTGCTCTCCTGGCGCAGGATCCAGTGCATCACTGTAGAGCAGGCCGCCGTGATTAGCACCCACGCAGCCGTTGCCATCCTCCTCCACCTCCTTTCGTCCAGGCCCACAGGACATCCTACTTTCTGCCTTTACCTCTGCCTCTACGCTTCCAAATCTATAGCCGCTCCTCTTCCTCCTTCCCCCGCCCAATGCCCACCATATGCTCGCCGCCCACCAGAACTTGAAGGGCCCTGGGACCCTATCACTAGCAGCAGCCCAGTAGTAGCAGCAACAAGCGAAACTGAGAGAGTGGGAGACTAGAAGGAAGTCTAGAGGCCTAGAGAGGGAAGGGCGGGCGGGGCAAGGCGTGGTGCAGGAGCTTCTCAAAAGAGGTAAAGCTTTCACGAGTTCCTAGTGGCGACAGCCGCCTTAAAATAACTACGCCTACGACTAGCTGCTCGCAACAGCAGTATTGGGCTAGTCCGCAGGTCTAGAAAGGTTGTGTCTGAACGGACGGACGTTCTGAGAAGAGCATTTCTGTTCCCAAATCCAAGCGATCGAATCGTTGAAGAAATTATTACTATATGTCTTTCTCTCGAGGAAAAGGTTGTAGAGTCCGTTTATATAAAATAATTAATCGATGAAGAAAAAAGCTATCATAATTCTCTTGCCGCTGAATCAAAATCCAGTTGACATTTTCTGCGTCCAGTCGATTTTCTTCATCTTGATTTTTTAGATAACTTCTTCATCTTGATTTTGAGCTCATATACAACACATTCCTCCCCTTATCCAACCTCCCACGATGACGAGTTTTTCCATGTCCTCTTGTCTTCGATATGTCCTTCATATATTCTATCGCCATGCTAACCTTGCAAGCTAAGGCCATCCGCAATCAGGCGGGCGAAATAGCCAGTGAGCTGGATGAGAGAGAAAGCAAAGAAAAATATATTATTCCTCTTTTTTATATCTGGCCCCACCTGTTCTCTCACAAATACTTGGGACGCGTGAAAATGTCTAGCGATTTGTTGGTCGCTAGCTGCTTGCCTCCCTCCTCTCTCTGCCTTCCACGTGGACCTGGGCCGGCGACGTCGCCCGCCGTTGCGGACGCCCTAATATGTAATCCGGTAACCTTTAGTATTGATGTGGTCAATTAATTAGAATTAAGGACTCAAATAACAATAAGGGTCCATTTAGATCCTTTTATTTTAAAGGAATTGAGGTTCCTCAATGAACTAGGCTATTTGTTTTGAAATTTGATATTTCATAACTTTCTAAAATTTACATATAAGCCTAGATGAAAATCGATTCTATAGATCACCATGTTATGTTTTACTCTGCAACTTATATCATACTCTTGGATTGGCTCCCCTAATGTAGAAATGCAACACATAAGTATCTCCCTTATACGGCCAACGGTAGTATATAAATATATTCCACGTATAACCATATTAGCTTAATTAATCTGTGCTTGAATTATGATTATTAGATTAAATTTCAACTTCAAAGATCTAAACAGGGCCTAAAAGATTTTCACGATGGATAAGCATTCACATGGGTATTTCTGGCCTTGTATGGTGAAATTTGGTTGAAAATTTCAATTCAACATGGATTCGGTTCACCCCACACGTAGTCGTGATAGAGAACACTAGAACATCAGGCGCCCTACCATGATTTGAAGAACAAAAGCAAGTCTACGTTCAATAGACATGGCTCCATAATTCGATATGGTAAAGCTAAGATGTTAGTCACACACATTAATATATAGTAATTGCCACCATCACCATAGTGTCAGTACCTAAGATCAAGCATATATCATACCATACCATTAGAAACATGAAAAATTATGAAGTAATTATATGGTTTGTATGTCCACTGTAGCTCTCACGGTTCTGTTCACACCCTTCATTACATTAATGGTGTGGATGAGAGAAAGCAAAGAAAATTATTTTATTCCTCACAACTATAAGGTACAATTTACGATCACAAATACACAACAACGCGTGAAAATGTCTAGTTGATTTGTTGGCGGCAAGCTCGCTGCCTCCTCCCATGAGGTTTCCACGTGGACTGGCAGTCGATCATCACATCCATGGCAAGTTCCTTGACGCCCAACATTAGTAATCAATAACCTTTAGTATTGATGTGGTCAATTAATTAGAATTAGATGTGGCAATCCTCAATAAGGGTCCATTTAGATCCTTTTATTTTAAATGGAATTGAGGTTCATCAATGAACTAGGCTATTTGTTTTGAAATTTGATATTTGAAACAACGGATCATTCTAAAATTTACATATAAGTGATAGATGAAAATCGATTCTATAGATTTTCATGATTAAGTATTTTCTCAAAACTTATAGCATAAATAAATATTCATGATCCTGCACCTACATGATCTGCTTACATGTCTTGGTAGAAAATGAAAATAAGTAAATAGTGAACAGCACAACTAAAGAAGAAAAAAATAAAATCGAAAAATGATTAATATACTAATCTTTGCCTTGCAGATTTGAATTACATCTTAGCATTAGCACACTAGTAAATAGTCATATTGCAATCTGCAGGTATAGTGTTATAGGTGCCATAGAAACACAAACTACATCTGACTACTTATTAGGGGATCAAAACTACAGATTAAATTGTTCTTTTTTCAACATAATCCGAACAAAAGAACATCTGTTGTCGTGTTATTTTAACTTATTGTTGAAGTAAACATGCCTATGAGAAGTATATGTAGTTATGAAATCTATGCATATGAGAAGTAGTTGTGTAGTTATGAAATCTTGACAACTTTTGCACCAGCATTGCGAGCAAATAAAACCTGTGAATGCTAGAAAGCAAATATGCCAAAGAACAAAAATATGGTCGCATAACTCAGAAGTGTTTTACCTAAATTTGATGGAAGTTCACACATCGATTGATACATACTTAAACTAGTGTCGGCACTCCTGGAATATACAGAACAATTACTTTCTTTAAGAAATGAAGTATATCATGAAAGAAACATCCCTTCCTGGTGTGCTGCAGAAGCACAATGCACAACAATACAAAACCAACCATTTCACAAGTTACATGACATGGGCGGAACCAGCAAAGGACTTGATAAATTTTTAAACAAAAATCCAAGTTGGTCGCATACACTTGTTTGCAAGTAAATCAAATCTAAATACAAATCCTCTAGGACCAAGCGTATGATCAGTGTCAGACAAAGAACAACAAAACAACGGGTATAAGATACATGATAAGTGATTGCAGAATTGCATAGCTGAATTACTGTCATAACTAACATGGGCAGAGCTGTTAATACGACAAATAAGAGAGCAATGACTATATGGCATTATTGTGGATTCCACTCTCAACGAGTAACATTTCAACACTATAGCACTCACATCTGCTAATTTTAATTTTAATTTAGGAATTATCATGAAATCTTCCCGCTTCTCTAAACCCCCTCTCCCCACTACATTCACTTGCTCCCACTATTACCTGAATCAACTAAGAAACTACATTCACTTGCTCCCACTG